AACATCTGGAAATCCACGTGCAACTCATTATGGATGACATCGGTATGTAAATTCAGATCTGTTATGATCTGAAGGTATAAGTAGAGGCTACTATACCTACTCAGCATGTGGACCGCCCCTTTTGATTGGGTTTGAAGTTACTATGCTCTGTAAATTTTGCGCCTAAAGGAGGACACATGATTCGGGGGACGGAGATAAAAGACAATTGCTGGATAGTAATTTCTTGTCATCTTATTTATAAAGTACTAGCTTCTGCCCGCGACTTCGTACGCGCAGTCCCGTTTCCCCCATTCCCGTAGGATTTTTAGGACTTTTTTCTGTCATAAGAACCTTCTCCTGACGATAACAAACACAACAAAAATAAATCAGTCAAAGGTCCAGCCGTTCTCAAGTTATGGCGTGACAACGGGAAACGGGTTTCATTTATATAAATCCTTACTAATAGGTATTATAAATCTGAAAGTGAGTTTGTTTGTTTGTTTCTTCCACCTTCACGCCGTAACTACTCAACCGATTGCTTTGAATTTTTGCAGACGTAAAGTTAGAAGTCCAGATTAAATAATAGGGTACTTTTTAACCCGGAAAAATATGATATTCCCGAGGAAAAACAAAAGTATTGGTATAGATGGCGCTGTGTGTATTGGTATATGTCACATAGGCTACTTTTTATTCTTTTGTAACGCGAGCGAAGCCGCGGGTAAAAGCTAGTATATAGATAATCGTCACCTTTGATATACGTTTTATTTATGACGTTCTAATTTCTTTTGGGGCTCCATACCGCTCCTATGACTTGAGTATTTTCAGGCCCTAGTTAAAAAACAATTGGGAAGAGCTAATTAGACTTTAAGAACTGAATTATTAATTTAGAAACATACAGATCTAAATTTAATGTTGACACCATGTCAGCCAGTCAGTCATTATTCCTAGTTACGACTATTTTATTGTTTAAACTAATATTTTTGGATGATGGCGGCTTCAACTAATGTTTTACGAGCATTTGGCATCAATACTGGTCAAGGGTACGCAGAGAAACGGCTCATTCATTGGGATTAGTGGTGAGGAACGAGTGACGTTAAAACATTATGTATTGTCGAAGGTGATGTCGCGGCAGTATCTTTGATAGTTTCTGAGAATTTGTTGAAATTTCAAGAATACGTACATAGACATTTCATCATCAATAGCCAATAAATGCCTACTGCTGAGCAAAGCCTCTTCTCACACGGAGAAGGTTTGAGCATAAATCACCATGCTTGCTCAATGCCGGTTGGCGATTACAAGCTTATAATTAGAAATTAAAAGCACCGTTTGTCAATGGTGTCTAGATAATCTTAGAGATATACACTTTGGAACATAGACATTTACACTTTGGAATGAATTAGCTTTATCGTCATGAAATGCATGGTCTGAATATTGGATTCACAGACACGCACTTAGCATTTGGACATCTATATTCTAGATAAATGAAACAAAAAAGATTTTATTTGTCTACTACAACCTGCAATTTGAATACCTTTCTACTTGTAAACAAAGCATTCAATAATAAACACTATGCTAATAAAGTTAGATACCTAATTAAAGTGCTTTGTTGACTACCACGAACTTCCCAATCACAATATTCTGCACTAGACATCTACCTTGATTATCTGACTCCCAATCTTAATAACCCATCCGTAGATTTATTTGGCTACTTAAGATAGAATTACAATTTCATCTCAAGGCGCATTATGGTTATTATTAGTTTCTATTAGACAAAACAGGGGCCAAACGTTGAACCATAAACTAAAAAAATATTAGACAACGGCCTATTGTCCACGACGCCCACGACGCGTCACTTGACGAATGCATGAAATGCATCTTGCTTAGAAACAATGAAAACTGTCGACGAATTGGCAACGACTAATCCGCCTGTCGTATGTATATGTCGTGGTGGCCCGGAGGTTTAAGACGCCCGCTTCTCATGCATGAGGGTGCGGGTTCGAAACCTACCAACGGCAAGTACCAATGTGACTTTTTCCGAGTTATATGTACTTTCTAAGATTATTCAGACACCACTGACAAACGGTGAAGGAAAACATCGTGAGGAAACCTGGGCTTGTTTGTAATCGCCAACTCGCATTGAGCAAGTGTGGTGATTAATGCTCAAATCTTCTCCGTGTGAGAAGAGGCTTTGCTCAACAGTGGGCATTTATAAGCTGTTGAATCCGCCTGTCGTAGCTCTAAGTTCCTTACACTCATTCAAATAAATTTCTATCTCTTATATCCAACAGATTCATATGTGATTAATCTATCCATGGATAATCTGATTAATCGTTACACAACATTATGCAATATTGATCTCCACTATGTAGAAAATATTTACATAAGTACACAAAATAACTATTTCGCTCTATTTACACAACTTTATAGACAACACATGTAGAATTCGACATAACAACTCATCACACGTACCTATTTAAACGAAACAAAACAAAATATTTTGCATGAATATTTTGATAAACATGCATTTCTCCATGCACATTGCACATGTACGTCAAAGGTTATTTTCGAACAATTTTCTCATAACAAACAGTTATTATTGTAACGTGTACAAATATAACTGTCTGAGCGAATTCTTAATCATCAATATTTTGGAGTGTTGTCAATAGGAGAAACTGTTTGAGTAGGGAGCTAGGGACTTTTATGGAGTGTGAGAGAACGAACTAAGAATACCTTTTTTTTTTTTTTTGAGATGGGAAAATCATCCAATGACTTCTCCCGCCTGGGTGAGGCGGGAGGGAGTGTCAGACTCTTACTGACTAAAAACCACCCCGTTCCTACACGTGCACTTCGAACCGGAGCCCCGGCAACCCGTTAAGTCTTCCGCGGCTCCGTATCGGCATCAGCCTTGTTAGGCCCCATCTGTGGTGGTCTGATGGCTCCTTGAGGCGCGCGCGGAACGCGACGCGCCGTACGCTCGGGCCGTTCTGGTCGGGCGGCGAGTCACCCATGCTCGCCGTCCGCAGGCCCGTGCTTACGGTGGCCGGAGATCGTCTCGCGATCCCCGACGCCCTCTCGCGATCCCCGACGCCCAACTAAGAATACCTACGTTTGTGAATTAAGACTGATTCATTAGAAGAAGGTTTGGTGGTATTGTTAAGAAAGAGGTTTTGGATTTTATTGGTCGTGGTGGCCCGGAGGTTTAAGACGCCCGCTTCTCATGCATGATGGTGCGAGTTCGAAACCTACCAACGCAACGGCAAGTACCAATGTGATTTTTTCAGAGTTATATGTACTTTCTAAGATTATCTAGACACCACTGACAAACGGTGAAGAAAAAAATCGTGAGGAAACCTGAACTTATAATTTCTAATTATAAGTTTGTAATCGCCAACCCGCATTGAGCAAGCGTAGTGATTAATGCTCAAACCTTCTCCTTGTGGTAAGAAGCTTTGCTCAGCAGTGGGCATTTATAGGCTGTTGATGATGATTGATGATGATTAAAAATATACATATTGCAGTAATTATTTTTTTCAAGAATACTGATTGACGCAAAGAAACGCAAAGGAATCTTCGTTCTGTCTTTGTCACCAATCAATTCGTATTTAATTGAATATGAGCTGAAAGCTGTCTTGCATCTATTTATCAGCGCCCAGAAACAAAATCATGGCGTCAAATCCATTCCATTGCTATTATTTGCAATTTGAAAGAAGAGGCCAACAAGCACACATTCGTATTTATAAAATTCTATAAGTACTAGCTACTTCCGCGTGGTTTTACACGCTCTGCTCAGCTCCTATTGGTCGTAGCGTGATGTTTCAGCCTATAGCCATCCTCGAAAAATGTGCTATCCAACACAAAAATAATTATTCAAATCAGACTTGTAGTTACGGAGATTAGCGCGTTCAAACAAACAAACAAAAAAACAAACTCTTCCCCTGTATATAATAGTATAAGAGAATAAGATTATTATTAGTTTTAATTCATAACTCTAAAACAATAGCCAGCATTAACCAAGGTAAGTAAACATCTACAAACTAGATTGCTGACTTGAACTTAGATTAAAAATCAACAACACAGCATAAATTATAAATAAATTGTCGTTGTTTACTAAGCCAGTTGGACAGTAACATTATACTTAAATGACGGTCAAGTTGCGAACGGAGATCGTAAATTCAAGTAAGTATATAAAGAACAATGAACTGTATTTATGTATCATGTAACTCAATAAAGTTTTCTTTGTCCGGATTGAGATTATAAAGTTTGGATCTCTCATTCTTTGTTGGACCTACAAGATAAACATGGAAGGACGAAGTAGAAAGGTGCAGAGATAGATAGAAAATTTAACGTCCAAATGTCAGATGTCACGTTTTTTTTTAAGTGGGGAAAATCATCGAATGACTGCTCCTGCCTGGGTGAGGCGGGAGGGAGTGTCAGACTCTTACTGACTAAAAACCACCCCGTTCTAAAAATTACTGGTTCTCGTTTAAACTAAGCGTCTAACGTGACATCTGTCGCGGAGAACCTAACGGGTTACCGGGGCTCCGGCTCGCCGTGCAGGAGAAGTCCTGAAGAAAACGAGAACCAGTAATTTTTATATTGAGTTAATTTTAAGTTTGAATAATCACCTAACTTTACAGTATTTATTACCGTCTTCTCATATACATCACACACATTGAGCATTTATCACCACGCTTGCTCAATGCGGGTTGGCGATTTCTTCCTTCACCGTTTGTCAGTGGTATCTCAATAATCTTAGAAAGTACATATAACTCGGAAAAAGTCACATTGGTACTTGCGTTGGTAGGTTTCGAACCTGCACCCTCATGCATGGGAAGCGGGCGTCTTAAACCTCCGGGCCACCGAAACACTTACACCATCGTCTTCCCATAGGTCGCAATTATTCCAATTTGTTTAAAAACTATGCGAATAAATGCCTATTCTATGTCACTACAACCTACCATAACATCGTACATCTTCAATTTAAATATTTGTACTACATTAAAAAGACAAAAATTACTTACATCATCAAGAGGCGGTTCATCATTAACGTTCTGGATGATGCCATCAGCATACCCAGTGATGTTTTTTAGGAATGTCTTCAAATCGTTACCGGCCCGGGAAGCGAAGTCCGTATACAGTAGGAGAGCTTCTTCCTTTGCCAACTCCAGCTGTGTCACTATACTTTGGCAGTCATCTAAAGATGCTATGTTCGCATGGGTCCCGGTCGTGTGGGCCCCATGAGTCCCATGGTTCCTGTGGGCCCCGTTGGTCGCTTGGTTCGGGAGTGTGCGGTTGCTGACATCCACTATCACCACTGCATCCTGGAATATTGAGAGTTTTTGTTTTAGAAGAATAATAATCTTTTTGGACTCCGTCTGGTCACTGGCTTGTTGGTCAAATGGTCGCAAAGGGGTCTTTGATTAATTTTCCAGGTTAGGCAAGGTATTATTGCTGGGCTGTTCAAAAACGTACCCTACCCAGTTCATGAGGTATTTTTGACTTCTAACTAGACATTACAACTAAAAATAAAAATATGTAGTAAAGTTATGTGTATGTATTGTTACAAAAAATATTTCATTGGCATCCGCGAAATATTTACGTGAACTACTTTTTATTACGATAATGTTTAATGATTCAGTTTTATTATGAAACTATTCTACTAACTTTTCACCAGCTGCTTCGGTAGTAGTCAAAAGAGGAAAGTAGTATATATAACTTTCCTTCTCAAGTTTAATAAAGATAAATAACATTAGAAGTTTATTAATATTGAGTCGACTGAGACATTTCTTTTATATATAGTGTAAGTGTAACTAAACCTGCTATTAACTTATGAACATACATAAAATACCACCTATGTTACAAATAAATAAATGATTATGATTATTTATTGCCTAATTTACAAAGAATAACAAATCTGGATATGCTAGGTATACAAAGTCAATTATAGGTATCCACGGCTAGAGCTACAGTATATCTTTATTGAGGTTTTGCGAATCCAATGCACATGAAAGTAGAAAATTAATGATATCTATTCAATAAATTTAAGGTTTAGTCGCCTACGCATTCTGGAACATGGATTTCTTTGCACAATTTAATTAAATCTCTGCTCACTCGCACACTATGGTCCTGTCTATAATTTAAGGAATAAGTTGGGACAGCAACTTGTGGGTTGAATCTAACCGATTTTTTCGGAACATTAAATGACAGCTTATGCAGCAGGTTCAGTCCGGCCACCGTAGGCACGGGCCTGCGGCCGGCGAGCATGAGCAGGGGTACCAGATCCGAGCGTACGGCGCGTCGCGTTCCGCGCGCGCCTTAAAGAGCCATCAGACCACCACGGATGGGGCCCAATAGGGCTTATACCAATACGGAGCCGCGGAGAACTTAACAGGTTACCGGGGCTCCGGCTCGAAGTGCAGGAGTAGGAACGGGGCGGTTTTTAGTCAGTAAGAGTCTGAGACTCCCACCCGCCTCACCTAAGCGGGAGAAATCATTCGACGATGTTCTCCCCTGAAAAAAATGCAGCAGGTCCAAAAAAAGGCCCCTTCGATAAATCGATCTCGTTATTCAGAATAATATTATTACAATTTCTTTAAATATGCGCAACGAATTTAATAGCCCTCTCTGTGGCCTGCCCTTTTCAGGAATAAATTACTCCACAAAATGACGACGAATGTTGTAATGACGTAATCATGATCGGAACCTCTTTTGTACTTTTAATGCAGTCATAAAAACTGTGCAATGATTGTATTCATCATTGTTTTGTTTATATTGACACATACATTGATGTATAAGAAGTAACATCTAGATGAATTACTATTTTATTACTTAGGTAATGAAGACTTTGTTGACAGATCTTTGTAAGATTTGTGCATCATGCAAAATATATGAAATATATTGATTTGTCTAATATACTGAATTGCATGAACGTATTAACCTATTACGTAATAATAATTATAGACATTTGATTTAGTCTGTACGGCACTGGTCAGATATACGTATATCTGGCCCGGAGTGTTAAGACGCCCGCTTCTCATGCTTGAGAGTGCGGGATCGAAACCTACCAACGGCAAGTACCAATGTGACATTTTCCGAGTTATACGCACTTTCGAAGATTATCTAACCACCACTGACAAACGGTGAGTGAAAATATCGTGAGGTAACGTGGGCTTACAATTTCAAATTATAAGTTTAAAATCGCCAACCCGCATTGAGCAAGCGTGGTGATTAATGCACAAACCTGTTCCGTGTGAGAAGAGGCCTTTGGTCAGAAGTGGCCACTTATAGGCTGTTGATAACCATGATGACATTAGGATAAAGCAGGGCAATAACCCGTCTCAAAATTAATAACCATACAGTTTATATTGACCTCAGTATATCAAACCAAGGCCACCATAAAAAACTTATAGCAAAATTATGGTGATGACGTCACAAAGGAAACCATTAAATCTCGGTTTGTATTTACAGTAGAATTTCATGAAATTACGTCAAACGTAGTTTCTCATGCCAATTTTCATAACTATAACGCTGTTATAGTGATGAGTTCATTTGACTGAAATTTTTCAGTTCTCATTCGATTTATGAAGGGGAAAAGGTCAGTGACTTGGTAAAAAATAGTTATAACTCTCGTTGCCAATTTTTAGTTTAGTTACAAGAGTTTTAAATTTCACAATACTTAGGTAAAATATGTATTACTTCATTATACAAGGTGTAGTTTTGAAACCGTGACATTTCTCGGGGGCATGCCACTGAAGTCATAAAGGTTCAATGTAAGAGAAAATTTCGGGCCAATGGTAAAAAATACGAATATAATAAATCGTTTAAGTTCGACATTATTTCAGAATAAGCGACCGCAATGTTTCTTATTGGAGTTTTATGGAACTAGGAATAATATTATTACGTGTTTGAGTTTGTCTGTGTTAAGCCGCGTTACAAAGCTAGTTACAAGACGGCGGCGTGTAGTTCGCACTTACGGATTTCCGTAATTTACAGAAAAATTAAAATATATGCCTACAATTTTTTATTGATTCGGACTCAGAATCGATATCCGAGTTACTTCCTAGAAAATGACGCGGTTTTAAAACAACACCTTGTATTTACACATTACTAAGCTGTAATACCTATATTAAAGAAGGGCCAAATTAAAAGTACCCAAAGTAAAGTATTTCCTGAAGGGTATGACCTGGGAGTCTTCAAGGCCCGAGTGAATAGGTTGCTTATGGGACGACGTGCTCCGTCGTAGACCGCATCATCGCTTACCATCAGGTGAGATAGTGGTCAAACGTCGCCCCATCAAATATAAAAAAAAAACCCTTAACCGACGAGCATGCATGAAAAGATTGATGACTGTTGATGAAGCGAAAGAGGTATGTAAGAATCGTAGCAATTGGCATTCCATAGTCTCTGCCTACCCCCATGGGAGACAGGCGTGTAGTTATGTATGTATGTATGTACTAAACTGTCCTTATGCACATTACTCTTGTTTAATATTAATTTTTTCATAAGTCCAAGTGTGGGAGAGACATGCTTCAGCACGAATGGGCCGGCTCGTCCGGAGTGATACCACGGCCTCACAGAAAACCGACGTAAAACAACGCTTGCGTTGTGTTTCGTCGTGTGAGTGAGGTTATCTGAGGCCCAATTACCCCTCCCTAGTCCCCGTCTCCCGAATCCCCGAATCCTCGACAATCTTCAAATACCCAATTCACAAAAGGCCGGTAACGCACTTGTAACGCCTTGGTGTTTCGAGTGACCATGGGCAGCGCGCATGGCTTACCATCAGGTGATCCCTCTGCTCGTTTACCGGCTTATGCTATAATAAAAGTCCATATTTTACTCGTAATTTTAAAGTTAACTTAGTTTAATTTTTCTGTATTCGGCTTATACACGTAACTGTTTGACGATGAATTTGACTCATGAATATGAGCCTGTAGTATGGCTTGAAACTAGTCGAGTTCCTCGTCAAACAGTTGAGTAAGTAAGCCGAAAACATAACATAACATACATTACATCACGCCTTTTTTATCCAGAAAGGGGTAGGCAGAGGTGCACATCATGCCACTGTACAATGTAACACCCACTTTTCACTAAGTATTTATGTTATGAGTCCCATGTAATAGGGGGTGAGCCTATTACCATATACCGGGCACTATTCCAGACTCCGTGGTACTACTGAGATTTTTTTAAAAACCCTTTAATACTTTGCCCGGCCCGGGAATCGAACCCGAGACCCCTTGCCGACTGCCGAGTCGCACTTGCGACCACTCAGCCAATGAGGCAGTCGAACGAGGCCGAAAACATAAATTAATTTAGTATGTCTCATAAAAGTTATAATTTAAAGTTCACTAAGAAAATTCATAAAGCACACAGGAATGGAATTTGCAATACGTTGCGCAGGAGTCAGTTGCTTAGTCAACTGTCTAGTCAAATCTAAACTCACTTCAGGACTATCTTAAATGTGATTTATAACTTAAAATAATGTTAACTATACACTAACATCATTGACCATCACCTATCTACTATAATGATCTATGACCACTTCAACTTGGACATGCGCCAGCGCATTGCAATGGTAACATTATCAGCACACTTTTAGTAATAACACTTGAAATTCTGCTTACCCCATTTAGAGAGAAGGGGATTATCGTATTTACAATTATTTTTATCTAATGATGCATATTATAAACAGGAAATGTTTGTTTTTTCACATTGTAAAGGCTTCAAAACAATAGGGTAGATGATTAATTTGTATTTTAATGTTCGTCTGGTAGATTATTTCAAAACATTATACACGTATTTTTTATTTTTTTACAGAAACGAATACTTTTGACGATATATTGATTTGAAATGTCACGTGACGTCACTTCTATGTACATTTTATACCTACGTAGAAATTACGTTTCAGCCCCCACTCCTAAACTTTGATTCGTTATATCTGAGTATCATTTTATTATAAAACAAAATAAAAAAATACGTGTCTAATATTTTTTCATTATCTAACGGACGGACTAATTAGATTTAGATTTTGTTACCCTCTCAACTACTCAATTGAAGTGATTTAAAAAAACATTTTGTATCTTGCTTTCCCCTACATACGCGAAGCTGGAGGCAATGAGCTAGTATGTACGTATTGCTACTACACATCGCATTGCATGTTTCATTTCAGCATGGCATGAAATAATGTCGTAATTCTTTTTTTTTCTTGGACCGACGTTTGTCCACTATCTCCCCTGGTGGTAAGCGATGATGCGGTTTACGATGGAGCACGTCGTCCCATAAGCAACCTATTCACTCGGGCCTTAAAGATACCCAGGTTCGCAAA